CAGCAGGATTTACTAAATCTAGAGAGTACTTGCATCAACAGAAAAAAATAATTAAAATACAAACACAAAAGCTTTTCGGCTTTTGATAAATAATAATTATTGGTTCGAATTAATTAATTAATTTTATATGTATTTTGTTATATCATCCTGGAATAAACTTGGAGGTATGTAGAGTGCATAAACAGCAATGAATAAGGGGTTTCTTGAATTGCATGTGCTATGCTGCTTGCATTTAAATTTCCTTCGTTATTTCTTCCACACTTTTTCTTCGAGTAACTAAAACTTTCTGTGCAACAGAAGTCAGAAGCACCTCACAACTAGTGATGGCAATGGGATAGACCAGGTGGTTATTTCAATACCCATATTCCGTTCCGTGTTACTGTGGGGCGGGTTGGGTTAACCATTTTTTGTATGTTATTTGAAAAAAAAATACAAGCAAAATTTTGTTTTTTGACAATAAGACAAGGGGGAAACACTTTATAAATGAAAATAGTGATAATAGAATGGATAATTGAGTCTAACTAGTTGAAAGATCAAGTTTAACTAATTGAAGAAAAATCAAAATAGAAAAAATCTGAAAAAGATATCGTAAAACACCGATATAGATTGGGTTAAGAACGGGACATGATGAGACAGAGCGAATTGAAAGTAGATACCATGCCCCGTCCAACGCTACTGCAGATAGGATAATAATTCACATTAATTTGTTGATGTTGTTCATCCATTTCAACCCATATTACATCCAAAAATCAAACTTACTATTCGGCCTAATTCCAATCTAGAATTAGGCGGACACCTTGTCCATTTTTCTCTATATTCTAATAAGATGGTCTGTCTGACGGTATTCAAATATTCATTAATTAGGGTGATTAACATTCAGGAGATGTATACTAACATATCGAACGTGATTAATACCCCCCTAAAAGTATAAGAACATGCATGCTTAATTACTTGATTAATTTAGTGGACTAATAATTACTTAAGTGCTAGCTCGATCCATGCTATTTAATTCACAGCGTTAGTCAAATTGTGCGCTGTATCCTTAATTAATTTTGCGCTGTTATCCTAAAAGAAAGAAATTTCATTAGAAAAAGAAACAAAGTCGTCGTGTAAGTTGGCAAGATCATTAACTAATCTTATTTTAAGTTTGAGATTCGAGGGCATTGAGAGCTAAATGGTCGTTGAAGGTGAACTTCGGCTCGGTTTGGGGTTTGTACGAATTTGGTAATATCGTATAGAAATAGAAGATCCACTTCAAATCTGTTTAATTCTAAAATGTGTTTGTGACATCTTTTTTTTTGTAATAGTAATGTGATAAGCTATTGAAAAGTGTATTTTATCGGGACATACATTTTGTGTTCGTTAATCAGCTCTTGTCGCTTCGACAGTCCAAAGTGCTCTTGTTAAGCAGTAAAATTGAAAAAATGAAAGCTGACTTGGCTCTCCATATATAAGTTTGGAGCAAACTCACATATCTTATCTCCTTATAATGTTGAGATTGGGCAATTAGTTTGCACCAACATTCTTGAATTTATCCCAACAAAAATTGGTCTAATGATAATGTGGAGATAATAATATCCATCACATCCTATATCCAAATAACAATCATCATCATCATCCAAAATATCTTCTTTAATCGCGTCATGTGTGTTTTCTCTGCTATTGGATTGCGGGCATGCATGAACTTAATTTACAAATATAAAAAAGTGAGTAGCATATATGGATCTCTACTAACAACTCGAATTATTCGAAACAGTTAGTCTATGTGGCATAATATCAAAGTTTGATTTATTCTTGAGGTCATGTGTTAAGTTCTCACGACCGTCAATATTTTTTTATAAAAGCCGATGATACAACTTTATTAATCTTACAACATATATTACAAAAGGAAAACTGGTCTGCAAAGCTGCACAAATTGCAGCAAGAAGAAGAAAAGCAAAAAAACACAAAGACCTATCTATTCTTTGCAATCAACAGGCTTTTCAAACAAACAAAAACAGATGTAATTTTTGTTGTTTTCAGGGTAGTTATTGTAATTCGTAGTTTGTATAGGTACTAGGTAGTAATTTGGAGAACATTATAAAGGTTGTACAGTGTAACAGAATATATAACTCACCGTTTTATGCAATAATCATTTTCTCACTAAATCTGGCACACACCCTTACTACCATCAATATTAATTGTTATCTTAAACTACATGGTATGTGGAGATCTGTGCAAACATCAAACTTATAAGTTGGCTTTTATTTAAGAAAGCATGTAAAAAAATGGTTAAATAATATACATATGGACTTCTCCCAATAACTCAAGTTATTGACAACAAAATGTTTAAGATGGACTATAATGAAATTGATTTATGACAACAAAGAGTCAAAGTTCCATTTTGCCGATCTGATTAATTTTCAACATCAACCCTTCTACATTGCTCAAATATCAACATAATTGACAATAGTCTAATCCATCTCCATAAGCCCTACTTAGTTCTTGGTTTCACGTTTCCTCGCACCTCTAAACCACCGGGGTGAAACTGAAAGCATTCAATGAGAATATGAGTGATTGCTTGGGTGAATGGGTGATGCGTGTGGTTTAAGAATTAGGAAGTGGAAAACATCCTCTTGAAAGGAAAAATCATAATAACAATGAATAGCTTTTTACCCGGTTGGTTGGCCGGGTAATGTTTGTATAAGATAGTCGTTGGACATGTTCTAAATGTTCAATGAACGTAGCACTTTATCAGTATGTTTAAATTTCTTTAGAGTGTGGTATCGTATGAGAGCGTGTATAGATATGGTACGTATTGTAAGAAAACTGAAATTGCAATGGAAACATGAATAATATTACTTCCTTGGAAAGATTAATTAATATAATAGATGGAGTTTACTAATTAATTTTTAAATTAATGTTAACAAATAGAGTTTGTCTTACTAGTTAGAATCTTTGCACTGTAAAGATCTATGTCTAGTAGGCTGTGTGTTCGAATCCACGTGGAAGCGTGGGAGGAGAGAAAATTTAATTTCGTGAAGTGTTTATTTGGAAAGTTCTTATTATATAGATAGATATAGATATCATTATTATCCTTTTCGTGAGTTTGAAATAATTAAGCTAGTATAGATACACTGTTATATTATCTAATCCTTTGAAATAAACAATATTGTAAATAATATTTAGCACGCAAAGTACTATGCTATGGGCCTTATAATTGTTTTTTTGGGTTATGAACTTATGGGTTATGAATTTAATATTTAATTAATAAATATTATATTAATCACCAATATGTAGTGCCACGTTCGATCGTGGCCTAGAATTCCCAAGTAATGTGTATAAGGTAGCTAGGTTTGTTAAAGCACACCATGATCATTTTGGGACAATTTTCAATCATCTTCCCCTTGGTGTTCATCTTTTATGACTTCACCATATGTGATTATGATATTAAGTTACTTAGAAATTATGCAAGCGAGAGTTTGTTGACGGAATAGACGGTAAATAAGTCAGAACCCACTTAGTTAAATGAATTTATGATTACTCTTGTTGCGCCCAACACTTAGTTACCAAACAAAGAAAATAGAGGATGTTCAAACGAGATATTCCTGAAATTTTACACTTTATCAACAATGAGGAATTATATGTCTTTCCGTTGAATCATTTGGAGGTATGAAAGTATCCAGATTTCATACTTCATTTGCACTGAAATAATCCTATTCATATATTGAATTTGGGAATTTTGCCAAAAAAAAAATCCAACAATTTATTCCAATTAACAAGAATGGGTTATTACCATTTATACCAACAAACAAACAATACAAAATACAAAATTGGTAGGGAGGGAAAATTTTGAAAGAATGATTACTCTAAATTAAGCCATTTTATGTAACAACCTGAAATGTTTCTTTATCCATTTTATTATTGTACTACTGCCCCACCTTGTCTGCCTGTGAATTATTTCATGGCCTCCTCTAAATTAAAAATAGAATTCCGGCCATATCCCCAAATTTGGAAGAGGAATAACAGGAAAAATGGATCAAGTATTCAAGTGGTAGGCTGATGCAATGTATTTTCTAGCTTAATTTTGAGCTAATACCACTACCACACTATTACTATAAAAAAATATAACTTGTATCGTATTTTATTCAATATTCAATCATATGATGTCCTATTTTATTCTTGTCCTATTTTATAGAATAAAATAGGATATAATTGTCATTTTGTTGATAGTTCGTGCGTTGTAATAGTATTAGCTTTTTAATTTCTATATTCTAGTACTTAGGATCGGGAAAAAAACTTCTTTGATCATCCATTCCTTTGGCAAAAAACGCGAAAATTGGTTGCACTACTCATTTTTCAAAGGAGTTCGTCCATGACTTTTCCCTAACAAAGGGTTGAAGCTATGTCAAGGACTCACCCCTCAAGAGGTAAAGAAGAGTTGCTCATATTGTGACAAAAAAAGCTTAATGGTCAACAAGAAAAAAAAAATGATAGCCCACATAGTCATTGAATAATAACTCAATAGCTCGCAAAATTCTTAATTTATTGAAAAGATTGAGTTTGTAGATGATAATTGCTTTCCCACTTTTATATTGACGGCCTCTAACTCCTCCTAATCACTACTTATCACCTTACTTCATTGTTGTGTTTTGGATATCTAACTTTCTGCGAAATTGCTAGATGGAGTATTTTAGTGTTGCCTAACATCTAGATGCGTCTTAAGCGCAGATTTAATTGAGCTTTTTCGAAATTAAGAAAAGTGACGATGAATACGAATAATAAAAACATTTTAAACCTCCAACGGACAACGGAAGTGAGTGAAATTGACACTTCACCCTCCCCTCTTCATTTAAATTATAACAATCATTCATCAACAAATTCATTCACTAACCCCTTTTTGTTTGAATCATAAGCAATTCAACTAAACCTAATTAAATATGTTTCAGATAAAAACAACTCATTCAGCACGTGAACACCAATTGCAATCAAACATCTCATAAAACCACCCCAACAACTCTGCCATATATAAATGCCAAACACCACCAGCAGCACTACCAGAGGAGTATCTGTATCTCTCCCATTTCACATCTGGCAGCCTGAATTCTGGAAATTAGAATTCATTTTTGTTTCTTCGACAAACAAAATCCTTCCCCATTTCCTAACGTTAAACCCCATCCCATCTTCTTCCTCTTCCTTCCAAGAAATTAAGGAGAAGCAGCAGCTGCTGCTGCAGCAACACGACAAGGACGGGGGGCGGTTACTGACACAGTCGGTTCCTCCTGCGGAAAAGACACCAGCTTGGTACTCTCTTCCCAATTCATAAAGGGTTCGTCGACAGATTTTTGAAGAAACCCAGAAAGCTCCATTGTGAAATCAAAGGTGGGTATCATTTCAATTCTCAATTTCTGCCCATTTTCCCAATTGAATGGTTGCATTAGTTTTTCTTCTTGCGGTATCAGAAGAGGCGGCAAAAAGGAGTGGTAGAAAAGACTGGAGCTTTGAAGCAGGCGGTTTGATTTTTTTTCCACTCTCACTCTCTCTGCTTTCTCTCCACGTTGAGGGGCATCGTTTACTTTCCCGAGAAAGTGATGGAAATTGCGGACAATCCTAAGATGGTGAGTACATTGATTCCTGCGTAAAGTGGTTTTTGTTTACTAATAAGACTCTGTTTTCTCCCGTTACTCTGTTTCTGTTTCTGCCGTTTGTCTCGCCGAACTGTTCCATTGTTGTCTTCTTGTTCGGGGTTCCGGAATTTTCACTTTCTTTCTTTTTTTAAAAACGATCGATTCGTCTTCACTGTTCATTTCCACATATGTTTCTCAACGAATTGATTCTTGTTCTTCTGCTTCGTTTGGGAGGTTACTACTTACCTGGGAATTTTTCAATTTTCTGTTGGGGTTTAGGATTTGATTGGACTGCAGGAAAATATGGTGACGACCACCACCACCGCCCAGAAAATCTCAGTTGTTGATCACATCAACGGATTCCAATACTCTCCCGAAAGATCCGATAACTTCGTTATCAACATGGAAGAAAGCTATTCCAATCCCAGAATCACAGTAAGAAATCAAATTCTAGCTCGCCTCTGTTTTTTCTTCATTTCCCCTGTTTTTCTTTTCCTGTAAAGTTGCTACCTTTTTGGTTCAATTTTTTTAATGGATTTACGCCCGCCATTATTGTCTGAAACATTCCTTTCTATCTCAAAAAAGTTGCAGAGGGGCTTTTCCAGAAAAGGGTCCTTTCGGGCCGGCGCCGGCAGCTATGGAGGCAGCGAGAAGAAAGTCAATTCCAATGGCTCTGTTTCAAAAGAAAGGGAATCTGCAGCTACAGCGGCGTCTTCGCCAGGAGGTAACTCTTCCTCTCTCTTTTTTTCACAAATCTTTTTTGTTTCTGGGTTAAGAAGAAAGAACACTCGAGTCGGTATCAGAGAAATTCAGGAAAGGGACTGCGAGGAAATTTAGACGGTTCAACAGTAGAGGACAAGAGTGAAAGAAAGGATAGAATTAGAGCGTTAGCTTCTTCAGTAATGTAAAGGGGTATGGGCTGTGTGATTTGGTTCCATTATAAGCTTGAAAGAGACGACGGGAGGGTTGATGGAGATGGAAGAAGAAGAAGAAGAACAAAACTACGCTACCAAACAACTGAGAATCATATGCTGATTGCCAAAGCCAGACAAATTTCTGAACTAGAAACCAAAGCCCTTCCCTGAGTGAGAGAGACTCCCATTCTTTGTTCTATGGACGCCCTTCTTCCAAGATTAACGCCTAACTCAATTGAACAAGATAAGGGTGAGCAATGACTCAGTTCGTCCCCCAGATCGAATCGACTTGTTGCAGCCGTTTCATTTCGATTCGACTATCACATCATACCTAATGCTGGTTTCAGTCTGATTCCGATCCTCGTTTTTCTCTTTAGTTTCAATCCGGCCTTATGTCGATTCATTAGTTTATGGACAAAGCTGAACCATGCTCACTCTAGTTTTTTACCAGACAAGATTGGTGGATGGATGATACAGAGAACCAATCCATTTTGCTTTCACTCTTCAGTTCCTGTTTATAGTTTCACCACTGAGATTCTGAAATGGGGTCTGTTGTTATTATTGAATATTAACCCAGCTGGGCCAGGGGTAGGAGGAGGAGGAGAAAGAGGTTTGCTGTTAGGGAGTAGCACGCCGGAAAAGGGAACGGTGGAGGGACAAGGGCATCATCAGATCACTATTACTTCTGCCGCCGGCAGCATCAAAGCCACCACCGCAGTCGAAGGAAGATCCCCGTCGAGAAGGAACAGCTTCAAGCGGCATCAGAGTTCATGGCTGCTCGATCCCAGAAAAGTCCTCTTCTTCTTTGCCACCTTGTAAGTTCCCGGCTCTCTTATCTCTCTGTGCTTAACAATGGACGAAGTTACTGATGACACTTCTGGTCCAGATCAAGCCTAGGGACGCTGTTGCTGATATACTTCACACTGTCCATCGCCTCGGTCCAGTCAGACGACGCTGCTGCCCTCGAATGACTTCTCCGATGTACATATGAGATAAGAATGCGGTAAACAACCAGTAGAACGCTTGAATCGATGATTTCCCCATTACGAAATCCAGTTGAAGGTCGTGCATTGTTCATGGAGGCTGCTGCACAGAAACATTATGAACAGAGACGAAGACAATAGGGCATGGTGATGAAGTATGATTAGAAAGGAGCAAAGGAATAGGAATCTTCTTTGTTGAATAAATATATGAGAAAATGAAAGATCGTGCAAACATGGTTGGAAAGCTCCTAGTTACTTACCTTTTGGGTCTCTTTTAGTTTGTTCCCTCTTTCAAGTCTCAAACCAGCCCCATCCTTTGGAAACCTCCTGGATTCTGTAATGGATTCCTTTTGGCAGTCCCAATGAGTGATTATTTTTGCCTTTTGCCCCTGCTTTTTGTTTGTACATGAAAGCAAAAAGAGGGAAAGCAGAGAATATTATGACCACTATTACTAGTGCCACCGGCCATTGCCATACCATTAAAGCTATACAAAAGTGAAAAATGCAATTGAAAATGAGCATAGGCATGCGAACACTGATAAGGTATGAATGCAGATAGTGGGGAGTTCAGAGCTACAAAGAGAAGCCGAACAATAGATGTTATCATATGAATGCCTAACAGCTTGGCTATGAAGCTAATAAGGTAAGAAGAAGTGGTGGCATGTGCCAAGTTGCAGTAGTAGTCTTCAGCCAAGGAAACAAAAGGAAAGCAGAAAGAGCTATCATATTCAAAGCAAAAATGTGGAAACACAGATTTCAAGTTCAGGCCAGAACTGGTAGAGGAATGGAGTATCAGATTCGTATCTCGAGGAACCACTTTCACCCTGCAATCGATTTGTTAGGCAAAGCAACTAACTTTATTCTGCAAGTGGGAATGGAAAGTAGCATTTGTGCCTGGCTGTGTGTGGCTGTGTAGTGGGGAGTGAGGAGAATGTTGGAACCCTAGTAAGTTTTTGGAATTCGGGCCATTGAAACGAATGTTCATCCTGACATGCTAAAAGGCCTTTAAGACGACAGCTGCAGTTTCCTTCAATTGCCGAAAGCTATGGCAGTGAAGCTGGAAGAAGAAGGCAAGTAGTCTCAACTAAGGAAACACGGGAAACAGAAGAGCTATCACGTTCAGGCAAGACTTGCACACATACACATTTCAATATCTAACTAGAAGTAGAAGAGTAATGGAGAACCAAATTCGTGCATCTCGAGAAATGCTCACCTTCCAGTCACTGGATCTGTATGAGGCAAAAACCAAATAAACCAGTTCCTTCTATCAGGACTGAAATGGTCTTCATACTTCCACTCACAAGCCAAGGATCTAACTTTCTTCCCTGTAACATTGTATGAATATACTTGAGTGTATGTGGCTGTTTACTGTGGAGTGAGGCGAACTCCGATCCTAGTTGCGATTCAGTATTCACGATATTAAACGCCTAGAGCTTGACAGGGAAGCTAGAAGAAGTGGGCAATGTAGCTAGTTGTTAGTTGCAGTAGTCAGACCAAGGGAATGAAGGTACCACAAAGAGCCATCATATTATTTCTATGAGCAGAATGGTCTTTAATATATTCATTCACAGGCCAAGCAACTGACTTTCTTCTGTAAAGTAAACATTGTATGAACAAGGAAGTGACCAAACTCTGAACCCTAGTAACGCTTGGAAATCCTCGGCATCAAGCATCTGTTCTTCCTGTCATGGTAGAGCCTCAAAACAACAGCAGCAGTTTCTTCAATTGCCCTCTCAGTCACTTCTGCATTTTCAAATCAAGACCATATTATCAGAAGATGAACAATCAAACAGTAATATATTACACTAAAGTTCCCCAAATCAGATTATCTAAATTTACCAATCACTGGCCAAGCAGGATTCTGAGCAAAAACCTTGCCAGCATATTCCAATTCCTCCCTCACATGATCCATCTCGGCATAATTACTCCTCGATTCATCGCTAAATCCCAGAGTCTTCGCTCTAGCTCTGCGAATCGCTTGCAGAACATGCTGGTTAATCGTCAGCGCAAACACCTTCTCGGGATCCACTTCAAACAAGGTCCTGGGCAAATCAACCCCATTAACGATGGGAACATTAGCTACTTTGTAACCTTTCTGAGCCAAGTATATCGACAGTGGAGTTTTCCCCGTACGGGAAACCCCGACGAGGACTATATCGGCTTTCCTCAAGTTCTTTGGAAGATTCCCGTCGTCTTGCTTGATGGTGAATTCCACGGCCTCAATCCGCTGGAAGTATTCCTCCGACAAAGGAACGTTCCCCCCAGCGGCTCCACGTGGAATTCCCGACGGAGAGACGCCGATGTGAGAAGAGATCGCCTCCGTGATTGGGCCCAAGATGTCCGTTGAAGGAATCCCCCAAATCTCGCAGGCTTTTCTTACCGATTCCGCCATGGATGGATCTGCTAGAGTGTAGATCACTAGCGCGCCTTCTTTCGCTGCCTGCTTCACGATCTCCATCAGCCGATCCACATCGTCTATCTGCCGCGAATCCCAAACCGAAATCAATTGAAAATTTCGCGGAAACCTAACTTTGACTCATGATGGAAGATTCAATTACCCCGGAGAAGAGATGAGTATTGACGGAACAGGCACGATCGACCAAGCAGTACTCGAACTGGCCAAGCGCGGTATTGACGGAGTGCTCCGCCGTCCAACCAGTTCCATCGGAGATCATGTAAATCGATTTCCCGGTGGCGACCTCGTCGTAGTTGTCATCATCTTCTCCTCTGTTCTTCTTCCTCTCGGCGACGAATTCGAGTGATTCTTGGTCGTTGAGCTGATCGGCTGAGTCGACTCGGTCGAGGACCTGAGCTCGATGGCCCGGCCGTTCCAATTTGCGGCCGGAACGGATTGCTCGAGCCCGAGACCAGCGGTTGAGCTGAGCACTGCCACGGAGTTTTCTGGACAGGGAGTTGGAGTCAGATTCAGGGAGGGAACCAGTGGCGGGAAGAGGTAGAGAGTTAGGTACGGAAGCGGCAGAGCGGTTGGGATTTGGTTCGGCGCCGGCGGAGGAGGAGGAGGACGGCGGTTGCCGGAGGTTGGGGACGTTCAAGGCGGAAGAACAAATCATTTTTTTTCTCTCAATTAATTAATCAATTTGGGGAAAATTTTCTCATTTTCGCTGATTATAATATGCGCTTTTATCCGGCTTATTTGGGCCAATTGGAATCTCCTTTAGGCCCAACAATTCGTTTGTTTTCTAATGACTATCCACTGAGTCATTGCAGGCTTTTGCCTGGTGAGATTGGTTCGTATGGTGTTCTGACTCTGGGCCCTGGCCCAACATGGAAACAAGTATTACAATTTCTACAACTTGTCATACTTGGGATCATCCTCCTCTTGTTTTGTTTTGGTCACCTCGATTGATTTAGAGATTTGACTTTAATAGATGGTAAAACTAGCGTGGCCCCGGCCATTTGGCCAGAGGAAGGTGAGGTATGAAATTTGATAATGTAATGGGGTGTATAGCTTATTGTTGTATAGTTTTTTTTTGGAAACACGTAATAAAAATAGTGAATTTTAGTAGGAAAGAGACATGAATGATGCAACGAATCAAAAATCAGCCTTATGAACCAAAATCAAGTACCTGTTACCTTGTGATACAATATTGTTTCTGGTAATATGATGAGGTGGAGTAAGTTTTATAGAAACTGAATTCCGGAAAATCGAATAAAAAATCGCCTATCCCGCCGATTTTCGGGAAATGAGCATCTCACAATTGTTGCTAGCTTTTACTCGGCCCGTTGGCCGATTAATTTGCTTTATAAAACTTTCATCTTGTCATCATTGTGCTTTCTGGTTTTTTGCCATGCCATGATAAAATCTAAAGAAATCAAGAATGAACAACACGATTTAGGATAGGAACCACGTTCCTGTATCCCTAGAAAATGGTGGTAAACATGGACTCACCTGCCAAACTGGTTTGTATTGTGATTTTTATCGAGTATTAGGGAACCATGTGATTAAAAATTAGACTTGATCAAAACGGGCCAAACTTGAAATTCAGCATGTTTGACCGACCAATGCCAAACTCTAATTATTCTTTTCTTTTAAACTTTCTATTTGAAAATAAAAAATAATGAAAGAAAAGAGATGACTGCAATTCGCCATTTTCAAATCACTGATTCGGGAATAAAGCTGTAGAATTTCGAAAGGAAACTGAAAATATTTAGAATCGTTTTAATGTTAAAAATAACCAAATAAATCTTTCTGTTTAGTTTTTTACTAACAAATACCAAACGATTCCCTATAATATACACTATAATTTAATCATTATGATATCAAATAATTACATAATATATATTTGAAATGATAAAAATTGAACTAATTGGGTTGGTGGAGGTTCATTGAATAACTTTAAAATACATTATATTTTAGCCACTAAGATGTAAAATAATAGCATAATATATATTATGCAAGAGAAAATAGCTTGTTTTAGAATGGCAAACTCATGATGTTCATTTGTATTACTTGATGGGCAAATCCCGTGTAGGTCAGACCCATTCAACTCTTTTATTTTATGATTAGCGATTAGCCCATTAGAATCCATGCATTAGTTTATTGTTAAATTTTTTTTCTTTTTAGCAATAAAAAGGAGTATTGTTTTTGCCTTTTCATATATATTTTACCACCACGGAGAAATAAAAGGACTTAAAGAAAAAAATTGACACTCCCGGATCCGTTTAAATCCGCTTGTGTACGGTAAGTTGGCCCGTTCCACAGAGAAAAAAGGAAAAAATTGACACTCCCTATTCTACCATTCCTACAAACGCTCCTGGAGCAGGGAATTTGAAATGGGGGAAGGATTTTTTCCTCAATGCAATTATATATTTTTAATTTAAAAAGATACAACAAATGTACTTAGTGTGATTGGTTATGATCTTTGTTTTTCTTGAAAGTGGTCATGGTTCGAATCCTAGTAAGTGTCTTTTTACTGAATAAAAAAAAGTAATTGTAAAGACCAAAATGTCCTTCCTACTTTCACTCTGGATGCAGGAAATTTGAAATGGGGCTTCAAGTTTTCTGATTTGGCTTTTATTTATTGTGTAGATGAACGCAAATTGGTGTTATGATTTAATAGTTGTCACTATATATACTTTCTCAAAAGATTCTAAGTATTTCAATAAGCGACATTTTTTTTCTCACACTCAATCTTCCTAGCTAGCTATATATTATCAAAATTAATGGGCAATGCTAAAAATTGAATCAATAGTGTTTCGCGGTGTAAACTTTTTCGGTGATAATATTATTCGCACATCTTTCGAACAATGTTCGAATGAGACTTTTGAGTTTTTGGGGAATCTACGTTACGACTACATCTATGGAGATTCTTGTGGAGAGCTCCAAGACTACGTCTACAACTACAAACTATGAGGACCCTTTTCTGGAAGGAGAGCTCTGCAAAGGAGTTACAAAGAAAAGAAAACATTTGAGACATGTGTGTCTCTTGTGTTGATTTGGTTGTCTTCTCTTCATCTTCACCTCGTTCTTTTGATCTACAAGCAAAAGCGTAATTGTTGTAG